TAGCTGGTTGAACACCCTGGTTTTAGAGGGGTTTTGGCCATTTCCAGGCTGGTTTCCAGCCATTTCCAGCATGTTCTTAGCTGGTCAGGCTGGAAAATGACCAGCTAAAACCAGCTAAAACCAGCTTGACCAGCCTGATTTAAACTGGACATAGCTGGTTTTGGCTGGGCTCCCAGCCTAGCTTGGCTGGTCAAGCTGGTCTTAGCTGGTCATCTCCCAGCCCGACCAGCTTAGACCAGGCTGGAAATGGCTGGAAACCAGCCTGGAAATGGCCAAAACCCCTCTAAAACCAGCCTGGTCAACCAGCGTAAACCAGCCAACCAGCCTAGACTGGTTTTAGCTGTTTTCTTCAGTAGGGCAGGCATTCATCTGGCACTTGCATATAGCATGTGGGCCAAACATGGACAGAGTAAGGCAAAAGTGGCACTGTCTTTAACGCGGCAGACAAGATTTGGGCCAGATGTAAAATGTAGCATTTGGCCCAGATGTTAATAATTGATTTGTGGGCCATTTAAGTTTGACAGATGTTAACCCACATTGAAAATAAATAAAAATTTGTTTTTGAGTAAAGAAAAAAATCTAGCAATCAGGTCGCTTCGAGAAAAAGCACGACCATAGTGTGCCTAAAGCACAATGCTTCATAGGTTTATCAATTTCATTGCAGTTGTGACGCACTGGCCCAGTTCAGGCCCAGATATGGGTTATTGAATTGGCTTTACCCAGATATGGTCTCTGTTTGGCCTATGTCTGGAAGCCAGACTTGGTCCAGTCACGTAACGTAATTCACTTTAGCATGTGGGCCAAGCAAAATCTGATTATGTGGGTCAGAGCTGGGCCAGAGAGAGTTTGCTATGTGGGAAGCATGGCAACAAGCTGCAGATTAACGGGAAAATTCGATAACTTTTTGCAGCATGGTCTGAGCCAAATTTGGTGGAAATTGGGCCAACGATCTATGGAGAGTTTAAAACAGGGGTGTCTAAACTTTTTGGGCCGAGGGTCAGATGAAAAAAAAAAAAAAAAACATTGTCCCGGGCCAAATTTTACATACTAAAATTAATCTGGGGTCGCCACAGCAGAATGAACCGCCAACTAATCCAACACGTTTTTTACGCAGCGGATGCCCTTCCCATCTCTGGGAATATATATATATATATATATATATATATATATATATATATATATATATATATA